ACTCATCTCCCCACTACCCCTCTGCAAGGTATGTCCAGTTGTCTATAGATGGGCATTGGGTCTCCATCGGTTTATCGTGATAACTAGAGATCACAAAGGAATCAGAACCAGCATCAGGAGTTTGCCAAGAGTAAGCAAAGAATAACTTTGCCAGTGTTCACCATCAATGGAATGAAACTCTCTCTCTCTCTCTCTTTCTCTCTCTCTCTGTCATTTCCCTTTAACACCAGAAAATAATGCCAGAGAAATTTTTACCACATAGCCCCAATTACTTTTGCATTCACTGCCGCATTTAGAAGTATTGGTCATTAAGAATATCTTCATTGTCCTTATAAGTTGAGATTATTTCAGGACTGTGTTCAACAAGTAAGACTGAAGTGTCCACATTGTATGCTGCTGAGCCATCCCTTCTTATGGTTGTGTGGTGGGAGTGTCATTCAGATTGTAAGTGCCATGCTGTTCTTATTGTTAGATCTTGCCAATGCCACAGTTGGCTACCTTTAAGAACTATCCCGCAGACTTTTCAGTGCCCTCTTCTGCAAAATAATGTGGCCTGACGTGCCAGTTGTGTAAAGGTATTTGACAAATGTATGTTGAAGGTATATTTGGATAAATGAAATGTTGGTGGCATTTCTTTGCTTTCTCATGATTGTGTTAAAAACAAGACATATCTTTTTTTTTTTAGGATTTTCTTTTTTTTTATGTTTTTCTTTATTTATTTGTTCATCGATTGCTGTATTTAGTCCGGTTATAGCTGTTTTTGCAGTGCCCCCAAGTTTATGATATGTTGTGTTATCATTCTCATTTGTTTCAAGAAATTTTAAAAATTTCATCCTTTATTTGATTTAATGGTCAGTCATTTTAAGTAGTATGTTTTCAGTGTCTGTGTTACTTCTACAGTTGATTTCCAGTTTTATGGCATTGGGATCTGAGAAAATAGATTGTAGAATCTCAGGTTTTTAAAAAATTTTTGAGGCTTGTTTTGTGCCCTGTTCAGTGGTCTATTCTTGAGAATGTTCCATTGACCTTGAAGAATGTATACTGTGTTTTTGTTGGATGGAGGATTCTATTATGCCTAGACGTTCCTTGATTGTGTTGTTTGCCTCTTTTGTGTCTTACTAATTTTTTTCCCCGATGATCTATCTTTCTTTGAGAGTGGTACCTTGAAATCTATGCGGGGATAACCCCCCCAAAACAAACAAACAAACAACAAAAACAGAAAACTCGGCTGGGTGGAGCTCTCGTAGTACACATTTTTCCTGCTAGGCAAGCATCAAGTAACTTTCTCTGAGTCAGTGTCCCCTGTGGCATTGCCTGGGAAGATTCTCTCTGGTCACAGTGAATTTTTTCATAAAAGCAGTTTTGTTTGAACCTCGTTTTTTTGTCATGGTTGCGAAATTTTGTTTCCTGCTTGGGAACAATGTTGCAGAAAATGTTGAGATGTT